CTTTGTCAGAAGAGCTCAGCCATGTCTTTGTTTGCTTGCTAGCAAGTCAGAGATGCTGCAGGTTTGTTTGGAGCTTTATTCATCTTATTTGCTCAGTAACCAGGACAGATGCCCATTGTTTCACTTGGGTTTTTATCGTGTGTTTTGAAGTGCCGCGAGGCACAATATCCTCATGCCAATGAGAATAAGTTAATGCATATCTCTTAGCCAACAGCCCGGGGACTAAAAATTTCTGATTGGGGCTGCAAAAAAGGGAAGGGAAAGAAGCTGAATTTCCCCCAGCAATGCAAAACAAACCAAAACTCAGCCCATTTGTTTAAGCTGTGTGGTCCCAAAGGGAGAACTCAATCTTGCACATCACTCTGCTGCAGACAAAGGGGAGTTGATTTTTCTAGATTGGTGCTACGGTCATTTAAATCGGGAAGGAATACAGCCGTGCAGACAGTCTGGTGGTGACTGGGGGCGAAGGGCATGTGACCTAAGAGGTGGTGTTCCTCTGATTTGAGTAACAAAGAACCAGCCTGTGCCTGTGTATGCCAGCGGGATGAATATCCTAATTTCACCAGTGGTCCATGTCAGTGCAGCTGCGTGAAAACTGAGCTGTCACTGGAGACAAAACTTTGTCTGTCCTTTGTTGTCGTGTTGGGAGAGCTGGAGAAATGAGATGAGGGTGAAGATCAGCAGCCCTGCCTGGGCATCTCTCTGGCTGCAGAGACAGCCACAGGCTTGAAGGCACTGATTCCTGCACATGCAGAAGAGCAAATGCCCTTGATGACTAAGAACTGGGGAGGCAGGAGGAAAAAAATGCCTTGTTTTCTTGGATCAGCCCCCTGTGGAGGCAAAGAAAAGTCTGCCATACGTTAATGGGCCACTTTCATAAATGTGGGAGCCTCATGCTCGCAGAGTGGCTCAGCCTGTCTGCGCTGATGCAGCTGTCAGCCTGTTTGTCTAGAAAATGCTTTTCTGAAAGGTATGATTATTCTAGACTGTTGAGCAAGTTCTTCTGTGTGACTGCATTTAAACAACACCAGTGGTATGTGGGGAAGGACTGAAAATGAAGAAGGAGGGGCAACATTTTCGATAGCCCCGGAAGGGCAGGAGAGGAGGTTGTGCTGTCTGTACAGCAAGGACACCAGTAGTGTCCTCTGAAATGCTCTGGTCTCATCAGCCCATGTGATGTCCTGCGCAGGTGTGCTCTCTTTGGGCAGACTGCTCTTGAGGCAGTCAGGCTGAGAGCAGTGTGAGCTGTGAGGGTAGGTGCATGGGCCCCTGTGCAGGGCTGTGCCTTATGTTGATTTGGCTTAGGTACCCACAAGACATCCTGGAAGGGATGCTTCTTAAAAACCTGGCTTTGGCCCTGGGAAAGGCATCCTTCTCCATCTGCCTTGGGAACAAGGGGTGTGCAGAACACCCCAGGGCAGTGCTGAGGTCTGGCTCTGTCCTCATCAGGTGGGGAGGAAATTGGCAGCAGGCTCTGGGGAGACCCTTTGTTTGCTCATGTTATTAGCAAGGAGCGAGGAAGTAATGACTTATTGATGCTTCTGTGATTCTCCTATACCGTGCTTTGAAGGAAGAAATTCAGTTTCCTGGCTGATAGTCATGGCTGTAATTGAGCAGTTACTTGTTCCTGCAGGGCTGCTCGCCTGCGGGGTGCTGCTGGTGCCCCCAGTTCTCTGATACAGTGCCCCATCAGCCCGTCTGGCTTGTGGTCATCAAGGGTCACTGCTCTCCTCTTCCCCTGCCTCTTGTGTAGCCTGGCTGGTGGTGACAGGCTGCTTATAGAGCCCAACATTTCTCTGCTGCAGCATTTTGTCTGATTAAACCAGAAATATCTGACAGAGGGGGTGACGACCGCTCCTTTCTGGGGTGAGGTGCCTGGGAACGTGGATCAATACCTCATCAAATACCCCTCGATCTTCATGGCATGCGGGGCAAAATGGTGTCCTATTGATGCCTCTTGGCTGCAGCCTGGGCACTGTGTCACCCCACGCTGACCGAGGAGACCTCTGTGCTCACCCCCACCCCTTCCACCGCCGTCCCTGCCCTGTCCCTGCTGCCTGCCTGGCGCGGCCGTGCCTGGTAGCGGGTGAGGGATGCAGTTACCAGCTCGCGTGCCGCCGTGGTTGCTCGGGGCTCTGCCAACCCCCACCCGCGCAGCTTCGGTAAATCCAGCTGAATTCCTGGGCTTTGTTTGGAACGTCTCCTCTGACAGCACGCTGTACAGCAATGTCCTTTTCATGCATTCCCTTGCTTCCATGGGAGCCTTAGCTTAGTCCACTGTGAGCAGGGTTTCATCCCTGTATCCGGGAGCGTGGGAGGGGGCAGGATCGCAGTGTGGGCTCTGTGAGGCAGGAGCAGGATGCTGAGCACCCAGCTCCTGCCTGTGCTCCAGGGCTCTGCTCCTGCAGAGGTTTGTGGCCTCTCCTTTGCTGTGCGTGGCCACGACCGCTGGCAAGTGTGAGAGGCCGTGTGTCCTGCCTGGTTGCAGTGCTCAGGATCCCTGCCTGCCTGTGTCCCAGCTGCCAGCATCCTCGGGAGCGAGTGCTGGATGCAGGCAGGAAAGCTGCCAGCGCTGCAGAGTGGCTGGTCTCCCTACACTGCATGGGGAGAGCAGTGAGGCACGTGCATTGCCCTGAATTGCTGTGAGCAGGCAATCCCCTGGAGTCCCATGGAGGGGATCATAGATGCAACCCTGTCAAACCTGACTTTTGCCCCTGTGCAACCCATGCTCCTTTCAACTGCAACATTCTTTTTCATCCATCCACTGCAAACAAAGCAGTGCCATTTTGGTTAACCTGAGGAGTGTGTGGATTCCTTTGAATCACATGACCTATCCAGGATAGTGATCTCTAGTTTTAACTTTATGACTGCAGTGCAGGGGATCCCCAAAGCTGGGTGTCTTACAAACCCTGAATGTGAGGCAGCCCCTGTACTGAAGACCCTGCCTCCCCCTCCACCCCCAACTGAGCTGAGCAACAGAGATGATTTATGAGCAGCATCAACAATGTCATAAAGTGCAAGTGGCAAGTTAATGCTGCTTTTTTTATTCCAGCCCTTTGACAGGGCCCTGTTAATAGAGGGTTGGGGAGCAGAAACAAAGGAAAGAGCACAGCAGCTAAAAGCCAGTTGTCACAGCACTGCTGCATTAGTGTGAAAATGGTGTGTTTTATCAGAAAAGAAGCACACTCTCCATAACAAATGGAATCTCACAGCAAGGAGCAGCTCCATAGGAGCACCTCTCCTATGGAAACAGGCTGAGAGCAGGGGTTGTTCAGCCTGAAGAAGAGGAAGCTTTGGGGAGACCTCATTGCTTCCAGTACTTAAAAGAAGATTATAAAAAAGATGGAGAGTGACTTTTTACATGGGCAGGCAGTGAGAGAACAAGGGGGGAACAGTTTTAAACTAAAATAGTAGAGATTTAGATTAGATGTTAGAGGGAAATTCTTTGCTCAGAGGATGGTGAGACACTGGAACACGTTGCCCAGAGAAGCTGTAGCTGGCACATCCCTGGAATTGTGCCAGGCCAGGTTGGATGGGGCACTGGGCAACCTGGTCTAGTGGGTGGCATCCCTGCTTCTAGCAGGGGGGTTGGAACTGGATGATCTTTAAGATCCATTCCAACCCAAACCATTCTGTGATTCCAGCCTGTGGACTCCTGTGGGATGGTGCTGATATGCCCTCTGGAGGTCATCAGAGATGAAGAGGGCAGAGATGCTGAGCTCTGTATTATGATCTTCCCTGGAAAGATCAGACTGAGAAGGGATTGAAACCCATGTGGGTGGAAGCCTGGGGGGCTGGGGAGGGTGAAAGAAGAGAGCACAATGGTGTGTAACTTGTGAAGCAGCTGGTTTTGGAAGGGATGGTAGTGTGTGGAGGGACTACAAGCAGGAGACTGTGCCAGGGCTGGTGTTTGGAGCTGTAGCAGGTGCTGTGTTTAATTTTGGGGTGGGAGCTCATGTGGGAGTGCAGGAGGGCTGGTGGGAGCAGCACTGGCATTCCCCTGGGGACAGCAGCGCTGGAGACTTCTGTGCTCCCCTGTCCCAGAAAGAGCAGGCATCTTGCTGTAATTTTCTCAGAAAATGAAGTGAATTATCTGAAATAGCTTGCTTTTCCTTCCAACCCATCTTTAAATGTGTTCAAATGTGCTTTGTTCCATTTCCTTAGATCTGTAGTTAGAGGTGGTGAAATGCTCCCTAGGCCATATGGAGCTGCTTGGAGACTTCATCCCAAAGTTCAGTCTTGAATGTTGGTTTTGTCCTTGACCCAATACTTTAACAAATTTGGTTTAATATTTTTAAGTTTTTCCCAGTTGCTTTCTTCCATCTCTCTCTTGCTTGGAAAAACAGACCAATGAAAGCAACTCTCCTAAATTTTCCAAAGCAGAGGAGGCCTCTCATCCACACCTTGGGTTTTTTCCTCACAGTCTGTGGTAGCTGTTAATTCACATTTGGTTTAGCAATTAATCAGGATATAAATAATACATAGCATGTTATCAGAAAACTGCATGCCAGTGCTACAGAGGCAGGCACTTTCGGCCCCGGCGGGGAGGGCTTGCCTTCTGCTGCTCTGCAGCCCCCTAAGGCCAATTAAGGTGCATCCTTGATGAGATTCCAGCCGCTCCTTGGCTGGATAAATAGTTGCTCTGATGTAGGGAGGGGGGGAAAAATAAGTGAAAATAAAGGGGGATTTAGTGTTCAAACAGATGCAGTGAGCTCTAGAGCCCAAACATTCCCCTCCTCCCCTTGTGTGTTTGGGCTGAGGCTGTGGGACTGAATGGATGTTACAGGCACCAGCGGCCAGTTATGGGAGATCTTTGGGTCTGCTGGATCCAGAGCAAAGGCTTGGTAGTGTGTCCTTTGCCTTCTGCCTTAGTCCTGTAAAGGTCTTTGCTCCTGAAGGCATATCAACTGTTGATAAGCAAAGCCTTGAGGAGCGTCACAAGTGCAGAAACCTGCTTTGTCTTCCCCTTTGCTACAGCTCTCCCAGCCTCCCGTGTCAGCCCAGGGATGTCGTCTTTGGTGTTTCTTGTTTCAAGGCTGCTGTTTATTTCAGCTGCAGTAAGGAGTGCTAAACTGGCTGGCAGGAGGGATAAACGTTGCTGTGACAGTTTGGGTGGTGACTTGGAAAAGGCACTTCAAGTTACAAAACAAGTATAAAAGCCATCAAGAAAAAAAGTGAGGAAAACACCAAACCCAGAGTCATCAGACTCTGGAGGCCACCAGATTTCAACTCTGTCACATTCACAGCTTCATAACAGGGCAGAAAGAGCAGGAATAATTGAGCTTGGGATAAACTGGGCTTTGCTGTGGGATCTCAAAAGCTCCTTGCAGCAGGGTCAATGAAGGCTGCTGCATGATCCTGAACTGCTGCCTCTGGTCTTCCTGTAGGGATCACTGGACTTTCGTACTTGTGACAGTGACTTTCTTTTCCAATTATAAACCTTGAATGGGCAGACTCAGTTTGAAGCATGGCTTCAAATACGTTTCCTCTTGAGGAAGGAGGCAAAAGATGGTGCTGAGATGGAGTTTGGGCCCTGAGAGCTGTTTGTTGGCCATTTGGCTTGTACAGTGCCTTCCCTGGGAGTTTCCCATACTGTGGTATCTCCTGCCATAAGCTCTGGTGCAAAAGAACTGCAGCTGAAGCAGCACAGTAATGTGTGTGATGTTGTTTCTCAGGTGCTGGAGCAAGATGTGGTTCTCCAGTCTATTGACCGTGCCATTGAGGCTGTGCACAATGCAGCCATGAAGAATGGGGGAAAATACAACCTGGAGCAGAGAGATGTTCTCCAGTAAGTACAGTGGGCATCTGGGAGAGCCGGCAGCTGGAGGGTGGTCAGTGTGTGATGTTTGTGTCTTTTTTATCTTTGTGGGGCAAGTTGGATGTTGTTGATTTGAGTCCCTGTGCTGCAAAGTGCTGCTGCACTTGGAGACCTTCCCAGCATTCGAGCTGGCAGCTGCTGCTGCTCCTCCTGACAACCGTGTCCAGCAGAGCAGAGCTTTGGTGTCTTGCCCTTCCATCCCTGCGCATGCCAAGAAGAGGAAACTCTCAGCCCCATTGTAGGCTTGGAGGAGAAATCCAAAACCTTTCCGGCTGCATTTTCTCTGCTCTACCAGCCAAGAATTGTAGAGGTTGTTGCCATGTGATACAAGGCCCTTAAAATGCTCTCAAATAATTGCTTGTGAGGAGAATTTTGTTTTTCTCTGACACCTCATGCCCTGCGCTGAGGCACACTGGTTTAATCTCAGTTGAACAGCAATTCTAAAGTGCAGGCAATTTCTGAAGCTTGCAATGCAATATGTGACTCTCCCCCGAGGAAGAGGCATTTTTCTCCAGTGAACTGATGAATAAATTATGGGCTCTTGCAAAGCCTTTCCTCCCCCAGAAGTGCTTCCTTAGTTGTTAATGAAACTGGAGTTGGTGTTCAGAGTAATGTAATGTAGCCCATTCTGGTATTTATAGCCCAAATGCAATAAATCATTTAAAAATACAATTTAAATGTTGCAGCATGGTCGTTCCCTTCCTTGTGAGCTTTGCTTTTCCTGGTGTCATCATTCCGTTGCAGAAAGCTGATCCATCACCGGAAGGAGACTGTGTCCCGCAAAAGCCACTCTCCCACCCCGCAGGGAACGGTGATGACGCAGTCGTCCAGCGATCACCACCTGGATGTGGCGCGGCAGCCCAACGGGGTGTGCCGGACAGGGTACGAGCGACATCACAGCCTTCCGAACACCGAGTTCGAGGAGGAGGATGAAGGTCTCTATCAGGTAACAGTGGCTGGACACTTTCTAAGTTCCTCCTTTGGTGGTGTGACATCGCTTGCCCTTATAGAATAAATAAGCAAATACCTTTGCAGCTGAAGTCACAAATAAGTGCTTATGCTGCTTACCTGGGGTTACTGTGGTGTAAAGTGATGGTGTCTCTATGTAAGAAATCTGGAGCAGTCTCTCTACCATTTACTCTTGTGATGCTTTTTGGGATCTTTGAGGGTCCATGGTTCTATGGCAACATACAGGATCCACTCTGTATCTTGTGAATGTCTCTTGGCAACTTTGTGAAAGAGTTGCAGGCTCCCCTGAGAACGCTTTGAAAAGCAGTTTCGACATGAGAAACAAATCCCTCCAAGTACTCAGCACTGCTTCATTTCCCCCTTGTTACGTCTGCACAACAAGATCTTTGGTCTTTAATCATTTTATCTGCTGTGGCTGCCTATTTATACTACAGCTATTTATACTCACCTAAAAAAAAAACCCAACAGAAAGATCCTGCTTTGTCTGAACATTGCTTGTCGTGATGAATTAAAGGTAAATTGCAGGAAATATGATGTAGAGCTAGAGCAGTTTTTTTTTTTTATCTTGGCTGCACGCAGTTCCAAGGTTACTGTGTGGCGCCAGCGAGGCTACAGAGTAGCAGGCCAGGGCAGATACAGTGGCTGCTGAGTATGAGTGATGTGGCTGATTTCACTGTGTAGATATAGCTGGGTGTTGGGGCTAAAGGTGCCAAGCAAGGATGAGCATGGAGATTTATTTTTTTTCTCCTACAGATGAACATGTGTGCTGTAGTTTTTCTTCATCTCTCTGAGTGTTTGTAGGCAGTGTGTTTATAAGGTGCTGATATGCTGTCACTCCTAGCAGATGAGGCTTGTTTTACACTTGAAGAACTGTGAGTCTGTGGAGATGAAAGGTAGCTCTGGCTCATGCAGAGCACAGCAATCCCTACAAATCCCATTTTTATTCTTGGTGTTCATTTTTGTTCTTGGACTGCCAAGCCAACTCCATTCCCAAGACTGCACATTATGGGCTGAGGGAATGGGGCACCTTTACAGCCCATACTCCATGCTGATTCCCTGTCTTTATCTGGTCTGTGGTTTGGTTGCTTGCCAAAAAAGGAGGAAGACAAATTCCTTGGCTGACAAAGAACTGTTTCTGCCTGGGTGGCACTGAGGATGTAGTCAAAGGGCTTCCAGCTTAGCCCTGTACTGAAAGGGCTCCTTGAGATTTTAACAGCTCAGTTGATGGATTTCCTGTGTGCTTTGAAAATACGAAGTGGAGGAAGCAGCATTGCTTTCTTCTACTGGTGATGCAGCAGCCTAAGAAGAGACCTACTGAAATACAAACTTTGTAGCTAACTCTGGAGACGCAGAGGTCTCGGCATGTGCTTTTCATTGCTTGGGATTTTCAGGTGTATTCAATGTTTGCATCTGAAAACTTAAGCAAAATTTGAGGTGCTGAACTGGGTGAAGTACTTGGTGATGGCATTTGTGCTGAGCCTTTCTTCAGCTCCTCTACAGTTAGCATAAGGTGGGAGGCTGGGGCAGTTACACACCAGCTGCCAAGGGAGGAGGTTGGGCTCTCAGAGTATTTTAGACAGTCTGTTGCGTTTGTGCATGCTCAGTGGGTTTGTGATGCTCATCTCTAGAAACCTTTGCTGCAGACCAGTGTGTGTGGCTTGGCAGAGTTTGCCTGGAGGCGGTGGTGGGTGGGAGATTGTTGGTTTGTTTTATTGTTTTGTTATTTTGTTTAAAGGTTCCTACTATAATAGCATTGTTCCCAGCAGTTGAAGAAGTGGTGGTGTTCTCTGCATGCCTGGAGGGGAAGGGAATTGGGAGTGTTGTGGTTGAATCAGCTCTTGTCTCAAGCAGTGCAGGGAGCAGAGCCTCTGCTAGCAGTCCTTGCAAAATGGAAAAGGAGAGGAAACAGATGTGTAAAATCCATATATTTGGGAAAATTCACTGCCCCTTTGTAGAGGCCTGGGGAAAGAGAGGCTTTCAACATGAGGAAAGTCACTTCTCTATGGACTCTTGGTGAAGTCCCTCATCTTCTCCCCTCTGGACAGGGTGCGAGCTGAACTGCAAGGATCCCTGCATGGTCACCTTCCCCATAACAGCTGCACAGAGGATGTTTTCTCCCTTTCCCTGGGGGGCTTTGGTGTTCTACGTCCTCCTCTTTGCCCCAAGCAGCAGCTGGGATGTGGGGCAGAGGGAGGGGATGGCCATCGGTTGCATCTCATGAATCCCAAGTCTGTGGTACCTCCCAGCTTGGGCAGACATCAGCACAGGGAAATTCCTGTGATGCTTCACGTTCTCATCGCAGCCGCTGGGACTGTTGTGCGTGGCCATCTAAACGAGGCTGGCAGGGCCTGAGCTAGCATTAGCTCTACATCTATTAATTTAAGCACTAGTCTGTAATAACTGTGTTAAACTTACATGGTAAATTTGGAAGGGCTAATGAAGCCATGGAAATACTCCAGGATGACCCAACCCTAGCTATCTCCAAATAATGTCATGTATCTGCTCTAAGCTCTGAGCCTGCCCGTCCGCTAAATCCTGCTGCCTTGGTAATCGTGGCTGTGCCATGCCAAGCAGCTCTGACTTTGGGACCAGCCTGCCAACCATGTGATGCAGAGACCCCTCCTTATCTGATTGGCCTCTCTCAGCTGTGCAGTCTCTTTTTGGACCCACATGGATCATTTTTGAAGCCATATGCAAGTATCATATAGCATTCCACCCAGAGAACAATGTAGGGTGGATTGACAAGAGCAGAAGAGCTCAGGCAGGGAGTCTGCTGCAGTATCTCGTGCTAATCCACCAGCTGAAGGCACTTGTAAAGAAGCAACTTATGTGACACAGTAAAAGGTTGGATGTGTTTGGTGTTGGGTGGAAGAAGGGACTGAGAGATCCCTTCTTAAATGTCTTTGTGCAAACTGCTGTGTCGTCACTTGTCTGGTAGGGTCCAGATGTGGGCTGTGAGCACTGTATTGCCAGCTTTTAGCATCGAGTCTTAAACATCTGAGGTGGCTCTTGAGGGTGTCTTGTTTACAGGAATATCTTCACTCCCGTTTCAGAGGAGGTTTCTGCCACTCCTGGATCCAGGGGAAAAAAGCGTGTTTTTCATTCTCCTTGTTCTGAGCTATATAGAGACCCTTCAAGGGTCTGTCTTAGATTTTCACTGTGGGGTGGCAGAGCTCTGTGGCCTGTTCAGCACTGACAGAGCACAGAAAAACTTCCCTTCCAGGACTAAACAAACCTAGAAAATTCACACTTGTGATGGACTGAATGTTGTTATAGATTCCAACTGACTACAGCCTGGGTTCCCCAAGACACTGAGACCATCACCTCCTTTCCCTTCCCGTGCTGCCTTGGGTGGTTTTGCTGCAGACAGTGATTGCAGTATCTCATGAAAACAGAGGCATGTTTCAGGCAGCAGGCTCAGAATCACAGAAAACTTAGGAGGCCCCAAACTGAGTCTCCTGCCCCTGAGCTACTGAGCCATAGGGACTGAACTAGTGATGACTGAACTAGTTCTCCCACCTAGCTTGGCTGCTGTGTTCAGTGATGTCCTGCTGATCAGAGGTTAACCCTGAGGCTGCACCTCACTGGAGTAATTCTAGGTGGAAGTGATATTGGTAATCATGGTGTTTGGGAAAGATGAGTATGGGAATGTGGGTCTGGGTCTCATACACTGCTAGCTGGGCATTCCTAGCAGAAGAGACTTAGAGGAGAAACCCCTGATGTGGAGAGTTAATGCAACTCCCTGGCAAAAGCTTTTCTCAGTGGGTCTTGCTATAGGTAGCATAGTATTGCACAGAGAGTCCAGCCCTATTTTCTCTCTGCATAGCTCTGAAAGCATGGAGAGGGCATTTACATGTTTCCAGTCCTTGGCTTTGTCTTTCTGCAAGGGTATTTGTAGCTGATGTAATGGATCTCTCCAGAAGAGTGTGTAAATACGCACTCTGTTTTCAGCCTCTGTGGAGCTGTTGAGAGTAATGTGGAGACACGGTGAGTGTGTGGGATTGCATTTGGAATAAAGGAGGAGTAAATGCTTGACAGGTCTACACTACGTATGTGCTGTGTGCTGCTGAACACAGCAATTAAACAAGGGCTGCTTTGCCTGTCACAGGGAGGGGATGAAGCCAGCTTGAGTCCTGCTTTGTTCTTCTAGGAAGCCGCCTATTAATATCTGTCCTCCAGAGAAAACTCTCCTGAATGATGAGAGAGATGTAAGGACAAATCTACACGAGCACGTGAGAAAAAAGGTTTCATAACAGAGAATGTCTTTATTGTCAAGCCCCTTTGATTGCTCTGAAATCTTTCCTTACAGATCCCACCACAGGCCCGGCGTGCTGCTCCCGTCACCCCCCCTCCGCCAGAGAAGCGTAAGAACGCACAGATTGCTGCTCCCATTAAAAGTAAGGACAAACAGCTTTCCAGATCTTGGGCATGAAATGGACACTGGGTGATGTGACAGCCGTGGTGCCTGGGTGCTTTTGCTTTCTGCTTAGAAGAGCATCCTTATTTATGTCCTAAGTTCCTATAGGGTTTATATCCTCATAAATATATATAGCCTAGATCCCTGTAGGTTTTAATGCAAATGGGCCTGAGCTGGTGGCCAGAGCTCCTTCAAGCCCTCTCTGATCTGGGAGGGTCTGGGCAGCCTGGTGTCTATGGGTTGGAGCCAGGTACAGCATCCTGCTGCTCCTTCGGTGCTTGTAGCCCTAGGAATCATGGTGCTCTCCAAGGAGCAAACTCTTTGCCTGTTCATGTTGCCAGTGCACGACTTCAGTGATTTAAGATCCTCTTTCTCCCACAGACACCATGGTCATCTCCCAACAAGCCAGAGAGTGTTCCCTTGCAGTGCAGTGTGCAGTATTTCACCTAGGGGATTCACTAGCTTTCAGGAGAGTCTCAAATCTTGTTTTTGACTCCCAACCTGTCAGGCACTTTCTTTGTGATGGGATTCCCATACAATCGGTGGCTGGCGCCTGTAGGGAGTAGTAATAATACCAGGGACACAGCTGCCTATGTGCTGCCCATGGGCAGAAGAGCAGCTAGTGATGAGCATTTCAGGACCATGGGGCTGGGGTAGGAGCTTCGCCATCTCCAGTATGTTTAGGCTGGCAGAAGCAGTGGTCATCCTGCTGAGTTGCTGCTGGCTTGCCCAAATGCTTTCCTGTGCTGTGATGGTCATGCCATTAGGGACATGCAGCCCACCTCAAGACTACTCATGTCCCCTTGTGAGGAGCAGGGCAGCTATTGACTTGCGGTTGTTAATTGAGACTTGGAACTGGCACCAGCTTCCTTAATGGTATTGAGCCATTTTCACTGTGGTAGTGGGAGTTCGCAAAGGTCAGTTTCCCTCAACTCATTATCTTGATTTAATGGAGCATGGTGGGAGCTATGATTCAGGAATGCTCCCCTCGGAGGAGGAGGAGGAGGAGGAAAAATTGGGATGCTGAACTCCTGTGGGAGGGAAGGGCTCAGTTTTTCTGCCTAGCTGGTGCTTGCCTTGGGGTGGAGTGGTGGATAGAGTAGTGGAGGTCTCCCAGGACTGACGGAGCAGGAAGGGTTGGAGTGGCCTGCAGAGATGCAACAAAGGCATTTCACAGCTGTCTCACTGCTCCTTCCTTTGGTGTTGGGGGGGGACTAACTGCCTTCCCTGAGAGCTGGGCTCCCCATGGGGTGCAGCTCCTTCTCTTCCAGCACTAAAATCAGCTGCTTTTGTGAAGCTCTGCATAGCCCACTGTTTGCCCAAGTAACTGTTTTCATAGTCAGGGAAGGACTTGGATACATTTCTGCCCACTAGAAACTAACAGATAAAATTTAACAAAACTGTATATTAGACCAGGGTAAAGGAAAGAAAAATCTTAACATTTCTCTGCTCATAGTGGATTTTTTCCTTTGGAAGGTGGGACTCCCACTGGTAGAGCTAGTCAAAACTAGAGGTGGGGGGAGAAATACAGTGGAGCAGAAAATGTGGAGGCTTGTGAAAGCAGTGGGTGCTAGCAGGGCTGCAGGGCTCGTGATCAAACATTGGAGAGTGCTGAAAGGGAGGGACTACAGGTGTTGTCAGTCAAATATTTTCATCCATCATCAGTGCTCACCCCAAGATATGTGCAAGAGGGAGGTGCAGGCTGGTGTGTGAAGCCTTCAGTGTCTTGCAATTCTGAGGCACCATCATTCAAAAGTGAGGGCTTAGATCCTGAATGCAGAAAAAGGCCTTTGCTGAGCCGGGGGAAAAGACTTTTCTGTCCCTTAGTCCTGTCTGTCCCTCCCTCCCTTCCCCTGTGTAAAACACTAAGCCCTTTGAAGGGTATTCATCTCAATGGAGTAGCTTTCCCCGTTCTAAAGAGGTGATTGTGTGGGAATGCTCCAGAGAGAACTGGTACAATTTTGCTTTGAGATAAGTGAGGCAGGAAGAGGAGTTAAACTGCTCTGGTCGCATGCACAATGAGCCTTTTTAATGGACTGCGCTGTGGCAATTTGTTTTTTTCTCTTTGATGCTGTTGCTAAGGCATATTCAATTGTTCCCTTTCAGACGCTGTTGAAATTATTCCTGGGTCAGCTTCTAGTGCCTCCTCTATAAGCACGACATCCCTGGATACCCTGTACACTGCTTCTTCTGTGTCAGAGACCGCTCTCCCCACAGCCACCTCCAGTCCTGCCAACACTCCGCCCCCCGTCCCGAGCCGGAGTGTCCACACCACAATCACTCGCAATTTGGACACCGGCTCTGTGACCCATTCCCGCTACGGGACTTCCCCGAAGGATGGGATCAGCAAATCTCCACAGTCCAAGAGGGTCGCCCCAGCACCGCCGCCTGAAGGGGGGACCCAGAGGTCCCATGCAGTGGATGGGGAGAAGACTTCTCAGGTGAAGAAAGCTGCCCCAGCACCCCCTGCAAGCCTGGATGCCTTCAGCAACCTCTGCCTGGAGGATAAGAAGGCATCTGTGATGGAGCCAGTGCCACCAGAACCCAGCGGCCTGGTGGCCTCCGTGCCCAAGACGATAGGTGCCGAACTGATCGAGCTGGTGCGTAGGAACACCCACCTCAGCTACGAGCTGTCCCGTGTGGCCATTGGCATTGTCATTGGCCACATCCAGACCTCTGTCCCTGCAACCAGCAGCATCATGGAGCAGATCCTCATCTCTGTGGTGGAGAGTAAGGTAACGTGCAGGGCTGGGCTAGGGACTGCTGCAAACCATCTCCTAGCTTCAAGGATAAGGTGTTTTGAGCTCAATGAGCTCTCAATGTTTGGGATGAGAAATGCAGTGAGATTCCAAAGGAAAGGTGCTAGGTCTAGCCAAGGGAACCAGGGGTTCAAACCAGATCTGAGTACATGTAGCAGAGAGGTGGAAAACAGGTGAGTTTATTCCTCAGATGAGCAGCAGATGTATGACAGAACCTTGAGCTTGGGATGAGAGGTGGAAGCAGCTGAGAGGGCTGTTGGTGCTGGGAAGCACTGGTAGTCTGTGGTGGAAGGGTGAATGTCTTACCTGAAATTGCAGTTTGGAGAGAGGGTGGTGAGGTGGACAGCAGTGAATTGAGCCACATGAACACACCAGGTGGGAGATGACAATCTTCTGGGTCCCAGGGACCATGCTGGTGACAAAGCAGTGGTGGGAATGGATGCAGGACTTGAGGCATGCTGAGAAATCTCTGACAGGAGTTGTTAGTCTCTGATTCTGAAAGATCACAGGGAACCACTGTAGCAGCATAAAATCAGAGATTGAAATGAATAGTGACTTTTGAAAGAGATATTTTCTGCTATAAACGTGACAAAGAGAAGCTGAGGAAGATGGAGCCTGCACCATATGTGCTTCTGTATAGAAACCTTTTATCAAATAATGAATTGTACAAACTTATTTTCTTCTACTGTGCTACATGTCCTCTGTGTGGATTCAGCATGCCTGTGCATACTATAAATCTCTACAGATTCTTGTTACTTTGGACAATGGAGCACCCAAAACTTCTATGTGTTTGGTCTGGGCTTTCTTCAAAGCGATGAAAACTAGTTTCCATAGACGTGAACCTCCGTTCCATCACACATGCCTCAGCCCTGCATTTTCTAAAGACCATGAAAGAGTAGTTTTTCTGCCACTGAAGAGCATTATCTGGAGCTTGTTCTAAATAAACTTACACCAGAAGAATCCTATGTTCCTCCTTCCTCTGCAGCAGTCATGGAAATGGTGAAGTGCACCTGGACAGCCACTGCTTCAGTTGGAGGGATAATAAATTTCAGCTGTCACTTGCTAAATACAACCCTGAGGAGTACATTTCATATAAACATCTAAGATTGGCGTTCCATTGCTAATGGCAAGATTATAATGAACTGTTCAGAGGCATTTTAGTATGGAAAACTAATGACATTCAAATTTTAGATCAAACTGTAATCTGGTTGACTGTCTGCACTGAATAGAAGCTCCTATAAGCAGTCATCAAGTCTCTGTTTGTGGCCATAACCCGATGGTTAATTACTTCCTACTCCAGTAACAATTCCCTGTCAATGTGTGATCTAGATTCAGCAAAAAAATTTAGCTGTTTCAAGCAAATGTTCCGGCTCTGACTTGTGTGCTGAGTTCAGTTTTCTGTTATTTGGACCTTGTCCAAGATTTGAATATTATTTTTATGGTTAATACCTGTACTCAGGATACATTAAGCTTAATTCCACGGAAGTCATTTAGTGCCAGGTTTCTGCAGAGGGGATTTGAAAACCTCAATTTCATGGCCATTGCTGCAGAGCAGCCTGAAAAAGGTGGGCAGAAATTCTGATGATGGTGCAGGGACAAGTATGGATCTACTCATAACTGATACCATATCTGTCATCTATGACATCTGTGGGACTTTAAAATGACTGGTAGTGTATGGAGACACAGCAGAAGGTCTTGTCCCACCTAGTAATACCTCATCATGCCTATCCTGAGCAGTACTGGATTCAGAAGGAGAGCCTGTGTGGGCTAGCACAGTGCTCAGAAGATGTAGCTCTGCTGATACCGGGGGGCCTGGTCCCAGGTGAGATTGTTCACCTGGTGTAGAAGACGAGCTCTAACAGTTGGAAGGGCAGTCATGTGTACTTGTGGGTGGCTGTACTGCTGTAGCTTCACTAGTGTAGTTTAATTGTACAAATTATTATCATTGACTTTGTGTTGTTCATTATACCAAATCATTCCACGATCTCTTGGGTTTCTGTGTAGAATTGTTGCTGAGTCGTCAGTTCTATGTCAAGGACTTTTTTCTTTAATTTGTAACTTCTGAAATCCCTCTACTCCTCAATCCATGCAAATACGTGGGCAATTCTTCTCTTGCATATTTTTCAAGGATTTTTCTTCCACCCCCTAAAACGGAGCAAGAGATCAGCTTTGATTTAAAGCTTTGGTCTGCTCAGAGTAGATACCATACCTGCTTCAACCTTTTATATCATGTTCTTTAATTAGTTATATCCTTTCTATTCCTATTCCAGTCTTAATTTAAAGTCAGCTCACTGGTTTACTAAATCAATTCCAGAATCCATTACCTCGCTTCTATTCCCAGTGCTTTCTGAAGGTTGAATGGCAGTGGCACTTCCTTCTTATTTACCTTGCTGCTTCTCCAGTGTGGAGTCTGCCCAGGCAAGTGTTTTTTAGAGAATAAAAGACCCTTCTTCTGGGACAGCATCATGCTCCTGCTTTTACAGAGGTGACTTAAGGCTAAGCTGGGGAAACAGTAAAGACAAGGAGGGTGCTGAGGAGCTCACACCTTAGGAAAGATGCTGCAGAGGCACTGTACTATTTGGGGAAGCCTGATCTGCAGGAGCAAACCTGCTGAGTTGGCTTCCCCATGTCTGCATTTGGCCTGGCCTTGGGAATGGCCCCTCTTCTTGTCCCTGAGCTGGCTCCTGATGACTGGCACAGTGACTGGGCATGATGCACAAAGGGAAATGAAACCTCTTTTGAAAGGCATTGCTGCAGTGACCATCTAAACTGGTGCTGGCTTTCATGAGAGCTTGTTGGAAATTTGGACGTAACTGAAGATAATATAGGTGCTGTCTGGTTTTTGAGCTTCTACAGAAACTTGGATTAATATGTATTAGTGATATGTGATTGCCTTCAGCTCTGCTGGATTATCTCCCATTTGAGAGGAGGGGGTACTTCTCTCTTGTCTAATGAGGTTGATTTTGAGGATTTATTAAGTGTAGTGTGAGGCAACCAAAACTGCCCAATGCACAAGCTAGCTGCACCTTGAGAGGGAGTCCTTAGAAATCACTTACCTGCTTTTGTTAAAGTAGCATTGCTGTGCTGTAGTTGTGACTCAGCCTCATCTCTGGTTGCCTTAAATTTAAACTCAAAAAACTGCTGACAAAGAAGTGTAATGCAGTTCAGTCTTAGAGATCAGCCCAGGCTGCTGACTGGGGTCAAACTGTTCTTGGGTGTGTCGGAGATGGAAGAAGGCGGCAAGATGTTGGTGTGGGAGGTGATGTGTTTCTGGAGGGAGTTTCCCTTGCAGTGCTGAGCTGTGACCTACTCCCAGCTGCTCATCACCAGCTCCTGGTAGCCGCCTGTTGTCCCCAACAAGCTCTGACAAACCTTACAGCTAATGTAGCCAAGCCCCTCTCCTTACCTTGGAGCCATGTGGCTGCCTCTTGTATGCAGTTCCTATTCATTCTTTGCTTAAAGGAGACTTGTTCTTCACAAGACACAAAGGCTGCTCTGGGGCTCAGTGTCTCTCTACAGGAGCTTTGTCCTTCTGCTCACCCGAGACAAGGGGAAGGTCAGCAGGGTGAATGTTTCCAAGGCCCAGTCCTTTGACTGGGCTGTTAGAAGGCTCCTCCTCAGTGAAATACTGTAACAAAGGGGAATCTGGAGGGTGGGAAGAATGCCTTACTGCTTAGGCAAATCTCTTCCTCACTGATTTCTGGAGGAGCCTTTATGAAAGTCCATGGCAGAGTCTTCACACACAGCCATCTCAGCTCAGCTGTCAACGGGCCCCGCTCCTCTAGAGAGCTACTGAGGATGTCTGCAGAGCAAATGTGTGTGGGGCTGTAGGTGTCTGGGACACCTGAACATTGAAGGCTGCAGAGACCTTACTGAGGCACAGCTAACAGGGGTGTTGGAAGCCAAGTGCTACTCTCCCCCGTGACACCCTGCAGGTCTGTGCACAGCCAGCACTGCTTCCCTGCAGAGCTGACCTGCCCTGGACAGGGCTGTGTCCCTGCGGGTGCCCAGCTGGGAGCAGACCTGCTGCTGGCAGGAGGGTGAGTGAGGCCTGCCCTGGGAAGCTTGGCTCAGCTGAAGTCAGGCATCTCTCTTGCACCACACTTCATCTGGTGTAGTGGCCGCCGAGGAGCCTGGCAGCCTGTGTGTGTTTGGAGCAGTGTTAGCTGTCTAGTTTGTATAGGTAGTGCTGTAGTGGGAATAGTTTGCTGCCCAGAGGATGGAGGAATTCCCAAAAACCTGCAATATGCTTTTGGGACTCATGTGGAGGGGAACTACTAGTAGATGTGTGTACCCATGGCACTGGTGACGCATGGTGCTTGCTGGTGGGGAGGGAGGGAGGGAGGCATGAGATGGGATGGGATGGGGTGAAGAAGAAACAGGCAGGACAGCAGCTGGGTTTGCATGGCAGGTGTGGCCACCTCTGAGCAGTGTGGATGTGATAAAGTTCCTAAAATGATTTTGGGCTGCTCAGGAGGAACAAAGTCCCTGCAGCAGCTTGTTCTGGGGGGAGGGAACTATTTGAAGCAGCAAGATAATGCAAAGTGGCATTGTTAGAATACCGAAACCTCCTTCTCATTATGGGCTCTCCAGCAGATTCCTGGAAACGACCATATGATGATGCTGCAGGTTGTAGTAGCTGCCAAGATGTTTAATAAGCAGTGACCTGACCCCAGTGGTGGGAGGGCTGAGAATGGTGCTGAGAGTGCATTAAGACAGTGCAAGGTGTAGTTACCCTGGTTGGATGGAAGAGCTTTTTAATGGATTGATCTCATCCAAGTCCATTAGGAGCTTGACACTTGGTGGAATCGTTAAGGGCTGTAGATGAAGGATTGGAGAAAGCAGATTAGTGGTAAGAGGCTGAAAAAAGGATCATTAAAACGAGTACTCATTAAAATGCTCATCCAAAAAGACGTCCCAGCAGTGGACTGAGGTAGGACCAGCTCTGTTCTGCTTGGTGAGAAGGATGTGAGTGAGGTTCATAAATGGAGAACCTTCTCCCCAGCAGTGGGAGCACATGAGGGCAGGCAGGTGACACTGCAGAGTTGTAGGTTCTCCTAAGGAGTAAGGGGAGGATAGCAAGATGAAGAGTCTCTTTACTAATGTATTTGCTTCTGTGATAAATCAGCATTCATTGGGAGATTCTCTTGTGTTTGTACACAGTTCCTGAAGCCTGTTGTGCTCTCTCACAGCTGGTTACCTGCTTTTCTGCTAGGTCACCCACAGCTTCTCAAAATTTTAAGAGTGTACAGAGGCTTGTATTAAACCAGCATGCTCCTTCCTTCATTACCTGCCTGACAAAAATCATGTAACAAGCAGCAACAACAAGAAAATTTCTTTTTATTATATAATTGAAGCATGGAATTGAAGTCCTAATTAATTCATACCCCAAATACTCCAAAGCAAATAACTAACAATTATGTCTTTAGTAAAGCAGGCAAGACATTACTGTTAAACTTGGAGTGGTTTTCCCGCAGAGGGCTGGAGGGTGGAAGGTGTGCAGGAAGGGTGTCCCTCCTGCTCTTGGCTGTCCACGTGCAGGTGTGCGACTGTGCAAGTGTCACTGCTGACACAAGACATGGGCTCGTGTCTCCATACAGAATCCTTCTGCTCTGCTTGCAATGTGAAGTGTGCTTAAAGCTTGCTGCCCCCAGCTGCACAGCCAAGCTGTTAGAAGGAGCTGCACCAGGACAGGGCTAAGCCTTCTCTGGGTTTCCAGGATTTTCCGACAGTGATCATGACTTGTTGCTGCATGCAGCAAGGCAGCTTCATCCAAAAATTGTTAAGAATCTGGTCTCACTGAGTGGGTTTTCCCTGTTTGAATTTCTCAGCTTGGTTCTCTTCTACCTTGCTGATCTCCTGCTGCTTGTTGTCACTGCTGCCAAACCCTCGTGCATGTAATTTAAGTTCTTCCACAAATTAATCCTTACCTCTCTTAATGATGCCTGGGCTTATCCCCTGTGATCAGCCTGGTTCCATGTACCAATCCCCTCTTCTTGCCCTGCTTTCAGGAAACCAGGTAGTTAATATATAGGTATACTTAGGTCCTAGAGGCTTATCCTAAATCAGAGCACAGCAGCTGTTGGGGCAGGTTAAACATTGCTTGACTACTCTCCTTGCTTTCTTGAAGGAGAGGAAAAGAGAAGAAAAGACAACTGAAGGGTGAAGCCTCGTGGCAAGAGTTGTGTGTGAGGTAGAAGTGGTGGGGATGCAGCAATTTGAGAAAGGAGTTTGTGCATTAAGATTTGCTGAGTAGCTGCAGTAAACAGTGTCTGAGCTCTGCTGTTTGGAAGAAAGCAGAACCAAAGCAGCCCATGATTAATTGGTTCCTGTCTGTGCTGCAGAGGATCCAGACCTAGTATTGAGCAGCTGGCATGCAGAGCACCATACAAGTCCGTGCTCTTGAGCCAAGGATTCAAGGACGATGATCTGTCCTTTTCAGGCTGGAGGAAGGGGGCGGTGAAGGGAACCTCTCCTTCTGAGAGGCAGTGGTGCAGCATGGTGGCTTGGTGTCCAGGACACGTCTGGATTACTGGGAGTGAGCCTGGAGCTGTGCTCAGCTGCTGCCTGGGAGTGGTCCTTGCCCATGCCAGGCTGGCTTGACTTTTCCCATTCTCAGGGTGATTTTCAGAATCTATAGATGGTAGAGGCTCCAAAAGTATGAGCTGAAATAACTCATGTGTCTTAAACTTGCTGGTTTTGTACTGCCAGCTCTTGACTGAATGAGGTCAGCTGCCAGTCCTGAGATAAGATTAGAGGAAACAGGCACCCAAACAGCTGTCAGGACCCCACTAACCAGTGGTTTTGCTCTCGTGCAGAACCTGAGTGCAGGGCTGCCCTCGGGCCAGATCTGCCACGACGAGCAGCGGCTGGAGGTGATCTTTGCAGATCTGGCCAGGCACAAGGACGATGCTCAGCAGCGCAGCTGGGCACTCTATGAGGATGAGAATGTCATCTGCTGCTACCTGGAGGAGCTGCTTCGCATCCTGGTGAGTAACTTTCTCTCTATACAGACAGAGCAGAGCAGATAGCCCTGGTGAATTTTCTTTTTTTCCTGACCTCCTTTGCCCCTGTGTTGCTGTTGGATTTGCTGTTTCAGAGGGCATAGGTTTCCTCTGCATCCTTTACTGTCAATGTGAAGCCCTGTCCTCCTGTGTGGCGTCTGCAGAGCTCTTGAGCTGCCTTCTACTTTCCACTCCACCTTGCAAAACTATTCTGAAAAGCATTACTGAGCCATTCTTCATGGTACCTATCACAGGAGAATATAAACCTTCACCTCCAAAAAAACCCAACCTCCCACAGAAAACCTGGAAGTCTGCTGTGAGGGTTGTTGGCTCTCCTAGGTCCATCTAAAATGTCTTCCATTTAAAACATCCTCTTTTGCTGGCAAGTTCCTGTGGGGTGAGGCTCATTAAATGCAAAGAAAATTCTTTGGCTGCCTTGAAAGTGAGCTTTAAAGCTGTTTTTTGTGAAAAGGTATACCACATCTCACCACATCTGTGTGTACAGAAGAGCAGCAGTGAGAATACTGTCCCAACACTATATGTACAAGCCCATCTGTGTCCAGGGTTGATACGAGAGCTGCCCTCAGTGCAGTGACATAGTCTGTGTTACAAGTACCAGTGTGGGGTTTGCTCTGTCAATGTTTTGTATTCCCCTCTGACATAAGCAGAACAGGTAATTTTTGTGTAATAAGTGCTGGAGTCTTTGTCACTCCACTCACAGCCTGTGCCACCTTACCATGTGCAGGGCAAGGCAGAGGGGTGGTTTGTGTAACCATTTCTTCGTAATTTAGGAGTGGGAGGAGATGTACTTCTCAGGATGGGAACGATGCTGGAGCTGTCCTGTGTAACTGCATGATGCACTCATCGAGGTGATGCTCATGTCATGGGTTTTATAGATGTCTTCAGCCCAAGTCATGCTGTATGGCAGAGATGTTTCTCAAGAATTCACTTTGATGCAGAATCTGAAGGATGGTGGTTCTTGAGCTTTGTGCTCTGCCTTCAGTTTCTTTGTGAGATGGCTGGGCTGGGATTACTGAGATCTGAAAGCAGCTGGCCTCCCTTGAGGTCCCTGTAATAGGCACCTTGTTCTTTGGTGTGCCACTGGGCTGACCTCTTCATTCCTTCTTCCAGACAGATGCAGACCCAGAAGTTTGCAAGAAAATGTGCAAGAAGAATGAATTTGAATCTGTCCTGTCCCTTGTGGCATATTATCAGATGGTAAGGTGGCAGAATGTACCTAATCTGTATTTTTGAGGTTTTGCTGAAGATGTAAAAGAGCAGGGTTGGTCTGATAGCTGTATATAAGATGTTTCTCTGGACAGGGCAGTTCTGCGGTGTGTCTGGAGTTGCAACACATCCCTTTTGTGTACTGGCTAATGTCAATGCTATGCATGAAAGTTGTGTGGAAGAGCAGAGGATGCTCTAGACTTCGAAGTGGTAGCCAGCACTGCAAAGGGTAAAGCTCGCTGCTTTTGCTAGCTCTGTTAAGGGACAGCATTGGCATCAGTGATACCTAGAGGAAGGATTTCTGAGGATGCCTTGGGAAAGCTGATAGGCTGTGACTGCTCATCTTTTAATTGATGCACTCTTGTGCATTAGTAAATAACTTTGCTTGGGAAAGTAGGGAGTGAATAGAAGCCTTGGGAGTGAGGAAGCAAATCAGTATTCAGAGGAAGAAATTCAAGTTTTGATTTCAACGCCTATGCAGTGTTGCTTTGCTCCTCTCCTTCCTGAAAAGTGCTGGTGTAGGACTCTCTGGGGGTTGAAAACTTGTCCCCATCTTGTCCCTAAGTCCCCAGCTACAGCACATCAAGTTTTGTAGCATTTCGCTTTCATCTAGCACTTCTGTGCCTGAACCCAGAGCTCAGCATCAAGGGGCTGTAGCATATCTGAGAGCAGTGAGAAGGCAGGCTGGGCATAACAGAGCCTGCTGGCTTCCCTTGCCTGCTCTTCTCTGATCCAGGAAGAGAAGAACAGGCAAGAGCCTCTGATCAAGGAAGCCTGACCAGGTAGGGAGCAGTTGGGTCTCCTGTGCTGGCTGCTGTCATGCTCAGTGCAAGGGCTTCACTCACCTCTGTTCTCTGAACCCTGGAGTTGTTGGCTGAGGCTGAAGTATGAAAGTTACCCCAGCACCAGAGCTCCTCCATGGGAGCTACAGTTTAAGTGTCATCTTTGCTGGAATCCCTGCATGTCCCAAACCTTTCTGGTTATACTGTCTGCTTCCAGCACAAACCCAACAGCATCACAGTGGGTGGAGGAGCAGCTCCCATCCTGTTCATTAACCATCACATGCTGAAGAGAGTTTGCAAATATTGTATTGTCAGGAAATCTCTATCAGAGCAGCATTGATAAAACCTCAGTGTGCTCAGAGAATCCTGTCTACTCAGCAAATTCAGTCTCTGTTTGATGGGGATGGGTATAGGTTGTTGGTTTGTTATCACTGTTAGTGGATGAAGTGGGGCATCTCACATCTGAGCTCTGCCTGCCACGTGCCCTCTGACTGCATATGTCAACAATCTGTAGCCAGCCCAGTTGTGAAAGTTATTGTAAAGTGACTCCTGTGCAGTTGTTAAAAACTAGTAGAGCTTCTCGGTTCACTGTCACCCTGGGAGCTTCTGTGGCTTGCCAACAACAGGAACTTCTAGGAGTTACATGTCTGCCTCAGAGTGAGCCCTAATCTGGGACACAGTTTGATCAAACAAACTGTTTTTGCAGGAACACAGGGTGCCATTACGGCTGCTGCTGCTGAAGTGCTTTGGAGCCATGTGCAACTTGGATGCTGCAGTCATCTCAACGCTTGTAAATTCTGTGCTGCCGATGGAGCTGGCCCGGGACATGCAGACTCACACACAGGGTGAGCCAGAGAGGTTGTATCCAGGTCCCTGGGAACGTGTCTTTCCATTAGATGATTTGCACTGGTGGCTCTTTACTGCCTGGCTGCTCTGCATGTCCAATGCTCTGGGGGGAATGGTTTCTGGGTTTAAAGTTCTTCAGGTTATTACAGCTGTAAGTGGAGGATTCACGGGAGGGGATGTTTCAGTCCAACAATGCAAGGCCCTCCAGCTTTTGAACATGCCACTAATGATCTGTGTCACTTCTTGTAGCTGTCTTAAAGCACATTTTGAGCTGTTCCAGTTTTGTTTCATGATGCTGACAAGAGACACCTGCAGATCTCAAGGAAGATCTCTGCAGTTTCTTAAAGACAGTTTTCCTCAGTGCTCTACACCTGATCTTTGTGGTGTTTGTTCTTGGTGAATGAGATGTGTGTTGGTTCAAGGAAAGGGCCCTCTCTCCACCACTGTGACAAGGGAGATGGTAGTGCTGCTGTTAACATTGCAGTCCTGGTTCTCTCTAGGATAGTGCACTCTGCTTTTTCCAGCTCTTTGCTTTTCACACCCAGGCTTTGCCCTCACATTCCTTCTAATTCATGCCCCTGCTCCCATTGTTAGGATGACCTGTCCCTCATACTAACAGGAATGTCCTTGCCCTCAGAGCTCCTGCTTAGCCCACTGTCTATTATCTCCCAGCAGTTAGGAGCAGGTGCTTGAAGAAGAGCCTAAGAGGAAGGTGAACATGTTGTAATACTCCCTGGTGTTACCTTACAGCTCCCCACACATTCCTGGTCCTGTGCAGTCACAGCTTTGCTTCCCATTTTGATGTCAGCCTGTAGGCCACCACTGCTGGCAGTGGCATATACTACTTTTTCCCTTAAAGGGCTATCAAAAACCCATTGTTTTGTGCTAATTGTGACCCACAATTAAATGGCTGTTGAGTGTTAGCTGTTAGCACAGCTAACAGCCTCTTGGTGTGATGGAGCAATGAGTTCTGACGTAGGTTGCTTCTGCACACCTCTGCTGATCTCCACATAGCACTTATGGCTGGAGCAGGTCTGTCTCCTGGCAAGTGTTGGCTCTGCTTTGGGGACCTGAAAAGCATTGCAGTGGAAGTGAGTGAGAAGTGGCTCAGCTGTGTCCTCCAAACTGGCAACATGCAGCTCTGCA